TTCCTGACAATCCTTGAGAAATTGCTGATAACGACGGTTTTTGTGCAGGATAAACATGAATTTTATTGCATTGTAATGCATTCAGCGATAAAAAGGGAGCTCTGTATCACAATGCAAGGTTGTCCAAATAGGCTTGCAATTTCGTCTATGAAGCTGCGGTCGGATGTTGAATACCCAAGGCCACGTCGTCTGTATATTTCAGCAATATCGCTTCATCAGGGGCAGATAATGAACCGAACTAAGTGGATAAGTAGTTTTGTGTAGATTCGTCGCAGTTAGACACAGGCAGACAGCCACCACACATCCAGGAAAGCGCTAGACGGCCGTTTCGTCCTATTGGGACTCGTCAGTAGCGCGCACCCGTCGAATCCTGCCGGATTCGAACCCACGACCCTACTCTTGCGAGTCAGCGACTTATGTCACTGAGCCATGGGCGACTGCAGTGGACCGCCATGACTGATATCTAACTGCGATATAGCGCGGCTCATCCTCCACTGTCTTGCATGTTATGAATGTGCGGAGGACAGGGCTGGCCCCCCAGAGCAACGACTTCCTTGGATAAGTGGTATGGAGCAGTGGCTCCTTGGAGAACACCTGTGGCTGCGGTGAGCGGCGAGGAACTTGTACCCCCAAGTCAAGTAAACCGAGCACCTCTAGTGTAATAGTCCCACAGCAAGTGGACGGTAGGAGGTCGAATTCTGATATCATGTAGGTCTCTCAAAGGTATGTCACAGTTTGCACTACTGAAATCATTACTGTAGTGGAGGAAACGCATTCGCACGGACTTTATCTTGTTCTCCAGTGACGCCACTACTACATGTACAAGACAGACTAATGTGTATTGTGTAGACTCATTCGTACTCACAACAAAGACAAGTTACCGACGCTGACCGCTTCTATGGTCATTTATCAGTTCGAGTGCATCTGTGTCGCTACTTACATCGGTCGAACGGCGCGGCAACTATCGAAGCGCATTAAGGAGCACCTACCACACTGGTTGCGTCGTTTCGGTACTGGGGCTATAACTAGCTCTGTTATGGCTCATTTTGTTGATAGTGGGCATGAGGTTGACCCAATCTGTGCCTTTCGAAAGGCCTGCGCCTCCGCGCCCTTGCTACTGTCGAGGCGATCAGCATTCGGTTTTATCAACCGCTTTTGTGCGCACAAAAGAAGCTGATCGAAGCTGTTAAGCTATCTTCGCTAGACAAAAGGGATCTTTCTGTGAGTGACTGTAATTGTGCAACTACACCTCTGTCCTAGTTTGCGGTTTGTTGCTGGTTCATGCCCTTGGGCGGCACGTGATCAATCCCATTTGAACTGATCGCTAATCCACTTTTACGCCCATTGCTATTCCACTCATATGATTGTACGGGTCTGAAGATGAATCATCGAAAACAATTGAAATAGGAATTTTTCAGTTATTGTGTAGACCTCACACTACGATGAGCACACACTGGAGCGGATCATCTGAATGAGTTTGACTTAGCATCTGTTCAAGAATAATCTCAAAGGAAGTCGTTGCTCTGGGGGCCAGCCCTGTCCTCTGCATATTCATAACATGCAAGACAGTGGAGGATGAGCCTCGCTATATCACAGTTAGATATCAGTCATGGCGATCCGCTGCAGTCGCCCATGGCTCAGTGACATAAGTCGCTGACTCGCAAGAGTAGGGTCGTGGGTTCGAATCCGGTAGGATTCGGCGGGTGCGCACTACTGACGAGTCCCAATAGAACGAAACGGCCGCCTAGCGCTTTGCTGGATGTGGTAGCTGTCTGCCTATGTCTAGCTACGACGAAGCTACACGAAAGCATAATAAATCCCCTACTACTTACAAATCATCAGTTGTCGCTTTAGCACATAGATACCACAGCGCTTGATGGCGGCTTGCAAAGCAAGCCATTGCTTTGGGGGCCAGCCCTGTCCTCTACACATTCATCCCATGCAAGACAGTGGAGGATGAGCCGCGCTATATCGCAGTTAGATATCAGTCATGGCGGTCCGCTGCAGTCGCCCATGACTCAGTGACATAAGTCGCTGACTCGCAAGAGTAAAGTCGTGGGTTCGAATCCAGCAGGATTCGGCAGGTGCACGCTACTGACGAGTCCCAGTAGGACAAAATGGCTGTCTAGCGCTTTCCAGAATGTGTGCTGCTTGTGTCTAACTGCGACGAACCTATACATCATCATCATCATCATTACACGTTAGCTGGAGGTGGAAAACACCTCAGCTATTGTGCCGCAATACAAAAGGCAAGAAAAGAAAAAACAAACAAACAGTGGCATGCCGACTGAGTCCCCAGTAACGGATGGACATCGTTCCGGAGAGCTAACAGCTGGCTGCCGTAAAAGAAAATCATATTATGCCTAGCGATTGAGATCGTGATTGGAGGGGGATGGACAAAGGAACTCACAACACAAACGCCATTGGGGCCGGCTCCAAGCCATATCAGAAAGTGTGTCCAACCAAACGTGTTCACCGTCCTTAGGACCCCAGCCAGGCAGTCGGGATGCACCAACCGACGCCAACTTCGAAGTGAGGATTTTCATTTCTCTCGACCAAGTCATCACTTGTCCTCCCTTCCTCCTCTTCCAACCGCACCCACAACGCGCAAACAATGCACGTCGCGGGAGTCGGTATGCTGGCATGCGCAACACGTGACCCAGCCATCGGAGCCTGGTGCGTGATATAATGGTGCTGAGCGGTTCACTCGCTCTTCCTGCACCAAATACGCGACGTCGAACACACTCATTGCTCACGCGGTGTTCCCACCAGACATGAGCTAAGCTGCGAAGGCAGTGATGATCGAATATGACGAGCCCCCTCATGTCTGTCGACCTGATGGGCCAGGTTTCACAGTCATATAGGAGAGTTGAACGGACGGCTGCGTTGTAAGCTCTGCCCTTCAGGGCGAGAGTAATGTCGCGTCTGCGCCACAGGTGGCGGAGATTGGCAAAAGCACCTCGAGCTTTTGCTATACGGTTTGTAACCTCATCTTCAATCCACGGGTGCTAATATAGCTGCCCAGGTACTTGAATTCCTGAACGACTTCTAGCAGATCACCACCAAGCGTTAGCTCAGGGTTGGGTCCCTGCCAATCTTGGAGGACGAACCTATACAAACAAATCTCAAAGGCCTTCAAGTTTGTTGAGATGCGGGCAGTTGGCCGGTATTTATCTGTACCTTTCTTTGGCACCTGTGTACTTCTAACATTTCTCCAACAGTCAACATTTTTTCATGCTTGTGTACAGGTCAGCAAGTAACTAGGTTAAGGAATCGACTCACTCCTTCAGAACGCTGGGTTATTATAGTCCGTCCGGGACATTCGCTTTGTTGGAATTTAGCTGCAGTAGTTTATTGTGCACAGTATTTCTGTACATGGCAGATACACATTGCCTGTGGACCTGTCCAATCGGGAGGCGAAAGGGTAAGAAGTGGAGTTCGCATTGAAACAACAAAACTTGCTGTTAAATTCTTCACGATTCAGATCTAGATTCGTCACTCTGTGAGGGATTCCATTTACTTCTTTTAGGATCTGACACACTTTCCGACAGCTATTATTTTCGAGTATGGTCTGGACATGTAGATGGTTTAAATGGATTTCACTGCAACGATAGTTGTGAACGTTTTCTTTATTAGTGTACGTAACCGTCTTAGAGATGGAGATACGAACCGATCCGCACGGATGAAAATGGTTTCCATTGGATATCAGGTGTCAAAACAGAAGTTAAGGTCGGTCCTTAACTGGGCACAGTACGTAACTACTTCAATGTCAAAAAATATACTCAAGTCTGTAGATACAATCATTTCTCGTAGTTGCTACATTTTGAGGTGAATATTATCTTTCAAATCTGTAATCTTTACAGCGCGCAATCTCCATGTGATTTACCTTGCTGTAGACGAAGGGAGATCATATGATCTATGAGTGATCAAAGCTACCAATCAGTACCTGATTGAACACAAAATGACAGGTTCGCACTGTTAATATATATAAGATATAGGGTTTCCTTAAGTCTGGTGGGGGAGTTTTCAACAGTTTGCAGCCCGAGATCTGTTGAAAAAGTGGTTTCAAATCTGTTTAGACCACCGGCGCGAATACAGTGAGCACAATCAAAGTGCTCGACTACTGTTGAAGTGGACTAATGGTCCAACTTCTCTGCCTCAGGTGGGAAACAGTTGGGGGAAATCGATTAGTGGTCGCTTACACATCTTGATTTACATCCCGAAAGTAAGCAGTTACTGCGTGGCGAAGCAAACCATATTTTATGTTGACGTGCGCCACTGGAGATTCGTACAAGTGCTAACACTTCAACGCCTTCTGTATGTACACGCCGGTCCACACGATGGCAAATGACTCCCACAATCGCTACAACGGTGTCGTCCATCTCCTCATAGGACCAGATCACGTGAAGCCTATTTACGCCGTAGAGCGACCCCCATCTAGCACAATGCTTTTTGGAGGAATTGTTGTGCTTCTCATAGATTCGCTTCAGATTATTTCTTTTAGTTTGACCGTGGAAAACCGGAACGCTCAGTGTAGTAGAAACACAGGGATTTCAGCACATCCCGACTATAGGTTATCATGACCAAAAGCAAAAATTTGTCGAGCGCATGCGTTTAAGTAATTTCACAGATGGAACAGAATAGCACAGCCAAGTTTGAAGGCCACTCCGCAGCATTGCTCGTATGCTGTTATCATCCGTACCGTGTTCTGTGCTTTGAACTTTGTGGCTCCTGGCCGATTTTCCGGTGTGTTTCATCCTCCCGAAACATAACGGTTTATTGATCACGGTGTGGCCTCGCAGTTAGCCACTTTACTCTTCGTTCAGCTCTTCCTTTGCATTCAAACTTCCGGCTGGACAAAATCAATATTAGGTTCATTACTTCCATTTCCCACCGGTATTTTTTCCACTTCAATTGTTTCCATTTGTTTGACACAACCATCAGCAAGACGATTACCCAGACACTTTCATCAGTTCATCTTCACTCTTTTTCCCACCTAGCTCTCTCCGCCATGCCTTCGTTGTGGAAGCTACAGGCTCTCCTCGAATCCGCATGGACATTGGGTTTTGACCCACTTGGAGCCTCTCAGTTGGCTTCGGCACTGCGTTCGGCCAACTATCAATCAGGTGTCCCTGCCATGGAGACATCCGCTGCGTCCTCGGTGGACGGTCGCAATCTGGTCGGGCTAGTGGATAGCACCGTCTGGCTTGGGGCATCTGATTTGGTCAGTCTGTTCGGATCAATTGGTGTCCGATGCACGTTGCTCGAATGTCGTGCTCCCTCAGGACCAAATAATTCCCATCCTCGGTCAGTCATTGCTGCCTTTTTGCCCTGGTCAAAATTCTATCTCCATCAGATTGTTCCTTGTTGTAATTTAGACTGTTCTCGACTCTTCCTAAGCCGTATTCTGCATTTTGCACGCTTTTTATATCTGTCTACAAGTTGAGCTGCCAGACAGTCGCAGGCGCTCATCTCTCTTCTCCGTACCGATTGTACCACAACATCATCTTGTGAATCGATGTTCTAACATGTATCTGGTTTCAAGAAGCGACCCACATCCTACTTATTCGCGTAATAATTTCTTCCACAATCCATCCGTTGAGGTGACGCGTCTAGCTCGTAGAGCCTATCACTGCCGGTGGCTGTTTGGCAAGTGATACGGCGAACTGGTTTTACCGAATGGCTCGAGAATCCTAAACAGTCATTCAGATGCGGCACAACACGTATTTAGTTTTGGATGCAGCGTAACATAGTCCTTCTTGATTGTGTACAGCGTACATCTGAAGTTCAATCTTCCGAGCTGTGTAATACCATGCAAACTTCAGGACATCACTATGTTTACATTCATGAAGGAAACTCATCTTCTAAGCTAAACAACGGGTGCTATTTCAGGTCATTCAGACGGGAAACTGAGATTCAGCTTTAGCGTGAGAGCATGTGTCTGTTCTTCACTGCGGACATCTGTACTTTCAGCAGGGACCACGATTGATGAAGTAATAATTATAATGATTGATATATTTCTCATCAAATGGGAAGCTGTGTCCGCACTTGACATGGATCATAAATGTACTAGTTATATCATGCTCTTGCGTTGGCAAAATGATGATAAGTTCTTATATTTGTGTTTTTGGCAAGGTGTGTCTCATATCTCTGTGTTTTATGCGAAGGTAGGAAGCACTTTCGTAGTTTAAGTATGTCACAAACATTGAGGGCCAATTGCATTGCATAAATGCTGATATTACACCAATTAGACGTTATCTGGGCCTTCATTAAATACGTCGTCAAGTGATCTTCACGAATAAAACGACATAATGGTATCCAGGTCGAAGTAGCTTTCTAGCTTACTGCGAAATGATTGCACGGTCTCACACAACTTGATTGAAATTGCGAGCCGATTCCACAATGCAGCATATCCGGTTAGAAAGAAGTTAAACCACCAATTTGTCTTGCATCGTGGGATAACCAGGGTTAAGTCTTTATTACTTGGGTCTCGCGTGGAACTATGCTGCAATGTTAAGGTGGATAGAGTGCGATAGGCATTGCGAAAGCGGATCAATATGAAGTTGCTGGCATCGCTCCCGAGAGTTGATGATAGAATTTTCCCCAATACGTGCTTAGTAAATGACCGTTGAAGACTTTCTATCGATGTTCTGTCTGGTTTCCTCTTATCGCCTCAAATTATGCTGCGATACTCCAGGATGGGACGCTTAAGGATTTTACATAGTTTAACTGTAGCTGTGATTGTATGCATGTTGAGAGATGTTAGCGAAGGATTGTCCGGCTTCTGCTATCTGGTACTCAATCTGTTCAGAGAAGTTGAAGGTACAAGAATACTTGATCCTGAGGTCATGGGTAGACTGTTGTACACAGATGCGTTCGCCGTTACGTGTGATAGATACTTCGGGTGTCAAGCGACCACGACAAATGACGTCATCGACTTGTTACACCAAGTCTCAAGCTTAATGAATGTATTCTTGAATGAGTCGTAATACATTCGGAAGCTCAACTGCTTGGTACTTGTGGACAAATGTTATATCATCAACAAATAAATACGACATGCCATGTTTGTTAACCGAACTGCTATCATTGACACAAAGAAGAGAAATTAATGTACCGAGCGCACATCCTTGTTTAACCCCGCTGGTAATTGGACGCGGTGGAAGAATAGTAGTCGCCTAAGGTGTCTATTTTAGCGGGACCGTTCATGTATTATGATAACCAACCCATCTGATTCGGTAATCGTTTGTAAGGCACCCGATCGAATGTTTTCTGCATGTGCAAGCATAGAATTAATATGGCATATTTTGAGTCATTGGAGTCCGGTATGTAGTTCAGGTAATGCAGCTACCAGAATGTGTACGATCGTTAGTCAAGGAAACCATTTTAGAACCTATCTGTCAGCTCGAGTGAGTTGATGAAATTTTTCACACTTTATTAACCAATTTCACGAATAATCCGGCTATTATAGAAGGGTTTTGGCTTGGCGTATTATTGTCAATCTCCTGTTTTGCGCAGCGTTTATGGCGAGGGCGGATGAATGAAGTTTTCCATTGATTTGCAAAGTACTTGGATCCCAGTGAAACGGCAAACATATAGAAAAGGAGCAGTGACGTATCAGGCCTTCCCAGTTTCATGGCAGATGGGGGGATTCCATCAGCTTCCAGAATTGAGCACGGTTGAATAGAATGTGTTGCTTGGCGGGTGTTGCAGACAGCAATAGCACTTTAGATGGAGCATTAGTGTAATTATAGCGTTAGTGTCAGGGGTTATATAGGGGGAGAACAAAGAGCTAGATACACCTGGATGTCGTCCACCATTTCAGTGATCAATGAAAAGCGTTTGTTGGTTCTTCGACGGAGAAGTCAGACCAACTCTTTTGCTTTGCATGTAATTCGTAGGGTTGCTTGATCTTCATGTGTTCTCCCATCAATTGTAAGTGCTTGATTTCAGTGATGAATCGCTGCATCTGTGGAATCATTGTAAGATATCCTATCCTTTTTCGCGCGCGATCGATTTGCTGGATTTCTGACTTATCGAACGTTCGGCTGCATCTTTTTAAACGTCACTGATTCGTTTTTCATGTGCAGCAACGAGGGTTATGACTTACTGAAACTAATGATAGAAGTGCATCACAGCTGTGCCGACATTGTTAGAGAGAAAGAAGGCATCCCAATCGCGGGACCGGATTATTTGACGGAAGGGTTTGCAGTTAATACTGCGGCTGGTGTAGTAGAAATGAGGTACTTGTTTGGTGGCCATTTTAATCGTGAAGATTAAGAGTATCATGTTGCCATCGTTACCAGGGATGTTCTCTGAAACGTCTCTCTGTACGTTGGTCATACCCAATATAAACATTACGTCTTATGTGTTCGTCAACCTAGTTGGTATAGTAACCCACTGTGTCCAACCAACTCTGACTGAATCTGTATAGTCAAAAAGGTCTGGGAAGACCAGTGTATCTTCGGTATGTTGAAATCACCTATAATTATCCTTTGTTTGTGCGTCAATCCTGATGCAAAATCGAAAGCTGAGCTGATACGGAACACATTCATGGTGGTTGAATTTGGCGGGTTGCGAATAGATGCAAATACACCGAGGCTCCTGAAACGGAGAACCAAAGAGAATCAGGAACATTTGCCAGCGGTGGATGTTCAAACCGTTCAGCTGTACATATGTGATGGAGTTACATGAGGCATCCTCCACCATTTCTTTTACAGCGATCTTTACGATAAAGGTGTTAAAGGGGAGTAATTGCATTACACTCTAATATATCAGCGTTGTACCACTTTTCGGTAACGCGAATTGCTTGCAGCTCGTTTAAATGTGCACGCATGCTTAGGAAATAATACCAGTTGTTGATAATCCATCTGGCGTCAATCAAAAGTAATGAATACATGCCATACATGGTGGAATCAGCTTTCGCGTCACTGTTGTGTGAGTCATTGTAATCACGGATTATTTGGGCAGTAAATATGTGTGGGTGCATTGGGAACGCGTCCATCGCTAATAACCTTGTGCCGTCCGCTATCGCCCGTATACATTATGAAAGGAGAGGATGGATGTGTCAGAGATACATTGCGGTTTACTTGGCGCTGAATTTTTCTGGTCATATGAAGAAATAGCAGAAACAACGTGTGCATATATTTGGCATCTGCCGCATATGTAGGGAGTTTGCGTGGTCGCGGTTTTCTTCATATATATATATATATATATATATATATATATATATATGGTTGGCGGCATTCGGTTTCGGATTTGCCTGTCACTGTGGCAAGCCACAGGACGCCTGCGCCTACACAGGGACCATGGGTGGCTTGCGCTGCACCATCCACAGCTCCAACCACATACCCCATATCCAGTGTAAACCCGAAGGAATAAGCCCAGGAGGCATGCAGACGGGAGTCACGTTTCATCAACGGAGCCGGCCCACACTCCTTCACAGGCAAACACAAGCACGCTGTATTTGGGGAATCAAGCAAACACAAGGCGGTGGCTGGACCGTAGTCCGCTCCACACTGAGTGCATGGAACCACTCTTTGATCCTAACACGGCCACAAGGACCGTGCACCCTGTCCCCTCCAGCCACGACCAACTGTCTCCTGGAGCCAGTATGGACGAGGTAGTGGGTAATAGACGGGTAGGCACCTTGTCAACATGCACATCAAGCGCAGCCACACCGGGGATATCAAACAACAGCCAATCACTTGAGAGAAAGATAATAAAGAAAATAACTCGATTAATGCATATAGAAACGATGAGCTAAACCTTAAGTTAATGAGCATATGAAATAAGTTGTTTACAAACGAATCCTGGATAAGTTCACGAGGTCAGAAAGTATACTTTACGGAAATGCCACGAACACAAAAATGTTATGGAAATCGAATACAATTGGCTTAAGCGAGGTGTGCAAGTTAATGGAATAGAGTACAGGTAGACATTTATATGAGAAAGAAAAGCATTAAGGCAAAATTGGAAACCCACCACCTGAAATAAAGAGACTTAGCATGCAAGCACGCGGTTAGTAAATCGAATGCAGCGTACTTACAAACGCTGCGCCGGTTCTGCCTACCTTCTCTGCAGGACCCGTCGTCGCTTCGATAGTGGTCCCGAGTGGCCTCGCTCATGGCTCACTAAGCCTGCCTGACATAGGCACTCGCGACCGCATGTGCTACAGCACCATGCGCTTGATGTCGATGGAGAACAACCCATCGGTGCTTGCCACTTCCGCACTTGCCGCTTCTTCTCTGCATGCATGAGGGCTTTCTCCTGCACCTCGGCAACTGCCTTCGTGATCAGATCGCGCCATA